ATACCCGAAGTAAGCCGACCAGCAATAAGTGAACTCTGACAAAACGTTCAAATAATATCACAAAATAAATAAATTAATTTATTTAGTAGCAACTAAAGATGATTCTCACATCTACATTATGTAATGGAAAAATGAATTTTTTAAAATCACAATCTTTATTTCATATTAAATCATAAATGTAATTTATTATTAATCCATGAAATAATTTAAAGATTTTTATTTATTTATCATAATTTAATCAGTAGAGGTTATTTCTGATTGGCCACTTACAATAGCGTCAAAAACTCCGTAAACAGCCATTGCACCACCAACACCACGTTCTCCAAGTGTAGGCTTCACAATTTCTTTAGTATATTCAGCCCTGAAATGGAAACATTTAAACTAACATAAATATCAAGACTTAAGAGATTTATAAAGTGTGACTTTGGATTAAATAATAATTATTCTGGTTTATTTACCACACAAATGCTTGCTGTAAACCCGAATATGCAATGAGTGGGATGACCAAAAGGATTCGTATGTCGAGCAATAAATTCGACATCGAGTTTAACAAGGACCCCACTGAAGATGAAAAAGTGACAGGGGAATCTTGCAGAGCATCTTCTTTACCGTTTCTCTTACTCAAGAAGCACATAAGAACTATACCTACAGTCATGCTACAGAGAAACACAATGAGAAGTAAAGTCGTGCCACTAGTTCTTCCCCCCTGCAATTTTATATAGCCATATAAAATACAATTAATAGTTTATCCTGCTAATATACGATCATGGTTATATACAAAATCTAGCAAACTCATCGGAATATTTTATTTGCTCAACATGAAAGTTTCTTGATACTCATGTCAACGAAAAATGCCTCGCCAAATAACTCGTAAAATATAAGGCAAAATAGAATATAATTACTTATATGATTCCTTTCCTTAGAGGGTAACCTATATAACAATAGTCGTAACAAATTTTTTCTTCCCCAGTACAGTAAGTGTGGATGAAATATACGGGGAAGCTTTAAACTAATGTGAATTCATACCTCTTCATCTCTTAGCATAGCAAGAGTGATAAGATTGCCAACAAGCTGCAGATTTACAGTAGAGGAACAATGTTACGGTTATTTACAAATATCAAGAACTAAGAGCTAATTTTTTTTAAACAGAAATGTAAATAAAGCACCTGATGACTTGCAAACATCCCCCAAAACTCTCCGTTGAATTTCCCAATAACCGTTCCTTCATGCAATTTGTAATCATATGCATGACTATGAGCAGCCGAAGTGAGATATGTACCCTGACAAAAAACGGTGAAGGTTAGTGAAAAAATACAGCCGATTAAAATCAGAACCTAAACCATTGAAAGAGTGAGAAATGTGTTAAACCTGTGCAACCCATATTATTGAAGCTGCAAATCCTAGGTATACGGAAGCTGGCACCATAGTATACCTTCAAAAGCGAATTAGAAACACATCATTAAACCACGAAGAACAAAAATTAAGGTAAATTATTTGTCGTGGAAATCGCTGAAAATACGAAACAATTGAAGACAATAGTAGGAAGTTCTACACATGGTTGATGAAATTCAACTCATGAACACAACATAGACTCGTAATTCTCGTAGGATTTAAGTAATTACGAATCACGGATAAATCGATTTAGGTTCATATATGCAATTTCACAAACCAAACAAATAGACAAAAGTCAACCAAATGATTGTTGAATTACAAAACCAAAGATACAAAGAAGATATACCAAGAGGGC